GACCTAAGTTTCAATCCTTACCTTGATGTAACCCTGACAACAGCATACAAACTTTTTTGGGCTTCGTGGAAAGTCGGCATGAAGTAGGGTCTCATGATGTCAGACCGTGGGATTTGTAGGACTTAAGGGTAGCATGATCAGCCTAGGTTGACCATGCTTGGTGCACCTCTTTGCCGCACTCCTCCAGCACAAAAGATTCTCAAAAGCAACTGTCAGACTAGAATCCAACTGCCACGCCCCAAACCCTTCTCGTCAGTTGAAGCATCTTGTCCAGTCAACGTCCGTTCCACTAAACAAGACGTTTCAACACCACAAGGGCCCAAATGTTCACATTGGTTAAGTTCGAACACATTAAGTTCGCACGGAGTCTTCAGCTACCGTGTGTTCACTGACATGTTTATTGCATGTGGCTCATCGTGTGAGCTGGTGATCCGAGCGAAGCATTGAGTCACGAAGCAGTCTGCCCTTCAAGCTTCAGTTTCGGGCTTGATGTCTATCTTTTTGAATTTTCAGACTACCGTAGCGACTTCCTCACATGCTCCCCAACTGGTGTAGACGGTGCGGTGCGAAGTTATGTTTTTGTTCATGGTCTTTTGTCAAGTCATTCTCGGTGAGAATAGCCAATATTACATATCAACCCTCCTTCCCCCAAAAGCAGAGTTGGAAGGCGACTTGTCCTCAATGTGGGGCTTCTAAGGCCAGGCCAGTTTGCACCGTGAGTGTTTTACATGGTCAAGGATTAGATGGGGTCGTGTTCAAGGTGCTCAATGGCTTGTATACGTTTCTACTCGCAATCGTGCATTCTCGACAGTCCGCTGCGCGGCCGGTTCCGTGGCTGTCGCTCAAGGCTTTCGTGCGCGTTTCTTCCCGAAATCGTGCCCCACCACAGTCCACCAACTTGCCTGTTGTCTGTTGTGTGCTGGGCGTATGCCCTGTTGATAGCGAGCTAGCGTGATTTGATGTGGTGTGAGCATGTCCGACCAGCAAATGCAATGCAGAAGCAGCTTCCACCAAGTATTTTTAATGGGCTTGAAGTTGTACTTGCAGCTTGTTCAGTTCGGCAACGCCAAAGAAGATTTGTCCCCCGTCCCGTGGCGTGAGATTTCTTCTTGGTTGGGTCTTGACGGTGCGACTGGGTTGCAGTTAAACTCTTAAATGTCAAAGTAGGCCTGATTCATGGGCATCCCAAGAGCACAAGCCAAAACTTTGAGACACAAGCTCGGATGTCAATTTCTTTCTTGGCTTGGGCGACAGGCTCTTTCAAGGTTCCTCACAAGCTGCAGGAGCTTGGGGTTTGAAGTTCTTGATTGTGGTGGTGCAGTGGCCTTGATCCCAAAAAACCAGGTCCCTTTTTTTGCAGTATTCTTTTCGCATCCAGCAATTGAACAGCAGAGCAGCTTAAATCCATGATGCCGTGCCCTCACATTCTTATGCATGCCTCTGGACAGACACTGGTGAAAGCGAACAATCGTAATAGTAGTAATAGTGGCAATAGCAGTAATATGAGTGATAGTGGAAAGATTAGTAATAGTAGGATTAGTAGTAATACTTGTAGCAGTAGTAATTTTAGTCATAATATTAGCAATAGTAGGAATAGTAGTTTTTCGAACTCCAAGCATTGACTCTGCACGTCAGGCATCCGGAGGTGGCGGCGGAGGTGGTGGCATGGACTTTTCCAACTTCGCCGGCTTTGCACAGGCCAAACTCCCGCAAGATTTGGGGAAAACAGCGATTAACATAATAGTAAGACTAATAGTAATAATAGTCACAGTCATAATAAGAATCATGAGAATAATAATCATGATAATAATAGGCTCAAATAGGGCGGAAGGAAAGGGGTTGATTCCGAGACGAACTTGTCACCATCGCTATGTTCATTGTTCTGCCACCAGCAAGATCGAAACCTTTGCAGGTTCTGCGCGAGGTGTTAATGTGGATTCCAACTGACCCTATCCCGTGCTTCGAAATGTTGCTTTTCCGTGTAGCAACCTGGCACTTCTTTGTTGAGGCCTCCTCATGACTACGCTGCTGCAGCTTCATGAAGCATGTAACATCAAGGATTCGTCCATGTTGCTGTCGCCATGCTGTGTTCCAGAAGGACCCTGGCAGCCTGTGTTCCCTAATGATTCCCCCCAGTTCAGTGGGCTTTCGGGTTGGATTTTCAGATTCCCGGTTTCGGAGGTCTATGGAAACGCCCGCAGCCCGCAAAGGGTTCCATCAAGCACCAAGAAAGCCCCTCCCAAAAGCGTCTCATGAAAGCTCCAGTAAAGCTTCAACGCACCTGCAAGCTCTGAGTCCCATTAAAGCCCCTCAACTTACTGTTTATTAGCAGGGAATGACCTATATATACCATATATACCCTTTAAGGGATTATATAGGGTACCTCATTCCCCCATTCCCTACGAACCAGCAGTAAGCAAAGCATTCCTCTGCAGGCCATGGCTGCCATGTCTGGCCAGGCTCAGGGCTTTGCGGGTTGGGGTCAAGAAAGGGGCTCGAGGTCATTTCGGAGGTGTGCAGAAGTGCATGTAGGAGCTAGGAGCATGCGTATGTTGAACTTCTAGTAGGGTTCATATGATTTTTCCTTCAGGGTCCTGAGCGGATTGCATCCTGAAACCTCAGACATAGTACTCCGTTCGAGGTCGCGTTGGCTTCCAACTTCCCCGCATGGCGACAAGCGATGCGATTCCCAAAGCGATTCAGTGATGATGGTAATGTTGCAAAGCCGCAGTTCCTTCGTACTGTCTACGTCCAATGCTGCTTCTTACTGCAGCAATCGCGATGACGACGACTACTTCTACAACTATGTTATTCTTGTCCCTGTTCTTTTTTCTGTTCCTGTTCCTGTTGCTGCCACTACAACAACAAATGCTGCTGCTGCTACTCCGACGACGACGACGATGATGATGACGACGACGACTACTACTACTACTACTACGACTACTACTACTACTACTACTACTACTACTACTACTACTACTACTACTACTACTACTACTACTACTACTACTACTACTACTACTACTACTACTACTACTACTACTACGGCGACGACAATGACGACGACTGCGACTGCGACTGCGACTGCGACGGCGAGTGCGAGTGCGACTGCGACTGCTACTGCTACTGCTACTGCTACTACGACGACTACTACAACTACTGCTCTTGCCACTCTTACTTTGCTACTCTTATTACTCTTGCTACTTCGGCTACTTTTTCTTCTTGTACTTTTCTTACTACTCGGAATACTCTGACCACTCTTGGAAATCCTATTTTTGTGACTACTCTTCGTATTCTTGTTCCGTTTACTGTGACTACTCTGACTACTCGTGATCTTGCTCTGTTTCTTACTCTTAAAACGACAACTGCTGCAGCCTCTATCACTGGTAAAGGTGCTACTGCTACTGCTGCTGCTTTGCTAGTGCTAGTGCTAGTGCTACTGCTACTGCTACTGCTACTGCTACTGCTACTACTACTACTACTACTACTCCTACTCCTCCTCCTCCTCCTACTACTACTGCTGCTGCTGTTGCTGCTACTTCTGCCGACGCTGCCGCTGCCACTACTACTATTGCTGCCACTGCCGCTACGACTACGCTTGCGGCCTACGACTATCATTGCAACTGCGACTACGACGCTGAACGACCACCTGACAATCGACATGACCCATGTTTGCGGTTGTTTTCGGATACCACAATGCGCCCGACCGGATCAGGGCAGTTTCGACGGAGACTGGCAGTGCGCGCACCTCAGACAGCCCTGGCAAGCCCGTAGGGTTGGGACAATTGCAGTGTGGGACGGCGAAAAGACAGTCACCTCGTGTGTTTATAATGATGAATGTGAACTCCTTGCGCAGAGCCACACGTGCTGAGACATGCTGAGCCACAATTGCACATGTGGGCTAGAAGACAGAAAGTTCATGAGGCTTCAATCCGAGCCTAATTAACCGCCCTGACCTGTCCTGATGGGACCTGGTCACAAAGATGCCATGTTGGAGCAAGCGCGGTAGTGCAGCAGAGACGTCACCCGAAATCCAGCAATGAAGGTTGAAGGCTGTCAGCTTCTGTGACCTCAGCCCGTGCAGCCTTTAACCCGACAAGTTCTTGCGCCAGGTCCCAATGAAGGCTGCATCAACAACAAGAGTATGGTGACCCAGCGGAGCCGTGTCGAGCGCGCTATGTATCTGCAGGATCCTTGGGGACTCAGAGTTACCTTAAACCATGAACCCTAAACCCTAAACCCTAAACCCTAAACCCTAAACCCTAAACCCTAAACCCTAAACCCTAAACCCTAAACCCTAAACCCTAAACCCTAAACCCTAAACCCTAAACCTTCCTCTGGAATATTGCTGGCTTTGTGCCCGAAGTTGCGCGATGGTATCGTTCTCATGCAACTGTTGGCTGGCCTGTCCATTCTCAAGGCAGGTGCACAGATGGGTCTGTGTTGGCATCAACACTGCAGCGCACGAAACTTGAACCCACAACTGCAAGATTCCATGTTCTGACGACGAGGCGGGACGCCTCGCATCCCTCTGGACCGTCCCCAAGCTGAAGCCCTAACCCTCAAAGCATCGCAAAGCCTTAGAACAAGCCTTCAAACTTAAGCTTCCGGCAGGTATTCGGGAAGCACGCTTCCTGCCCATCGTGTGGAACCGCAAGGCCATCAAGGAGTTTGGTATGACGTGGGCCCATTCGTTGAAGCTTTGCACATGTTGCTGTTCAGGCATGTAGGGCCCAGGGAAGCCCCTGTCCTCGACGTTCTGGGCGGGTTTCGGGTTTAGGCTTGAGTCGTTTCGATGTGTCGTTTAGGGAGTTCCTTTGGAGCTAACCCTAAACCCTAAACCCTAAACCCTGAACCGTGAACCCGGAACCCGGAACCCTGAACCCTGAACCCTAAAACCTAAACCCTAAAACCTAAGCATCACCAGGATTCAAAGCCCTGCCGAAAAAATTGCGCCAGCGGTTCGAACTCCGTCGCCCCGTGGCCCCCGCAGCGCAGCCATGGCCGAAGTCCCCGCAGCCGAAGTTCCCCAGGCCTTTGCCGGTCGGCTGTCGCTTAGGGTTTATGGTTTAGGGTTTAGGGTTTAGGGTTTAGGGTTTAGGGTTTAGGAACCCGAATTCAGTTCCCAAATCCCCGCTATTTCTTGTCACTCTGCTTACTTGCGTGAGTTTGGCAGATGGTGTTGTTTTTTGCTGGAACTTCGGTGGAGTGCTTGAAAGGCTTCGGTGTCCTGCTGTGCGGGTTGAATTCTGGGAGTGGCCCTGGTGAGTTCATGACTGAGGCTTGAGCTCCCTATGTGTTGCGGCATCGTTGGTGTCACAGACATGATCTTCCCCCTAAACCCTAAACCCTAAACCCTAAACCCTAAACCCTAAACCCTAAACCCTAAACCCTAAACCCTAAACCCTAAACCCTAAACCCTAAACCCTGAACCCTGAAACCCTAAAACCCTAAACCCGTGATGCACCGCGACAGGCTGAGAAGGATGAGCTCTTCTGTGCCTACGCCGCGATGATCCTCAAGGAGAAATCTCTAAACCCATCTACAATGGGAGAGGTTCTTCGTGCATTGGTCCCTACTTCAAAAGATGTAAAGCATTAGTAAAGTAGTTTCAAGCTCGCAGGCCACTTTCCTGCGAAACCTTCTTGGCTCAACTGAGTTTGAGGGAGATAGACGAAAGCATGGCTGAGTAAGCTCAAGTGTGAGGACAGCGAGCTCGACATCACGGAGGACAGCATCAACTCCTTGATCAAGGCCACGAGCTCCCCCCCAAAAATGCCGAGTTGTGTCTGGGATTGGGAGTCGAGGCACATATCTTCGGATTTTTCGGGTGCCTTGCATCTTAATCCTGAGAGCGGTATAAACTCGGAACCATGTATTCCTGTGGCAGGCTGCTGGTGGCTCGATCGACTCCTTCTTCCCAGCCCTCTTCGCCAAGCTGTGCCAAGGCAAGGATCTGGAGACTCGGCTGCACTGCCGGAGGAAAGGGTTTAGGGTTTAGGGTTTAGGGTTTAGGGTTTAGGGTTTAGGGTTTAGGGTTTAGGGTTTAGGGTTTAGGGTTTAGGGTTTAGGGTTTAGGGTTTAGGGTTTAGGGTTTAAGAGCAGCCGAAGACTGTCAGCAGCTCAAAAGAGGGCGCGGAGTGGGGATCCATCTCGCACACGCCCCACCTTGCGGATTCCTCTTCAGAAATTCCCTAAACCCTAAACCCTAAACCCTAAATCCTAAACCCTAAACCCTAAACCCTAAGCCCTAAACCCTAAACCCTAAACCTGTTCAGGACAGCATGCTGAAGTTCGGCGGCGGCGGCGGTGGCGGTGTCGCCGTCGCTGGAGGTGCCGCTGCGGATGCGGGCGCAGGCGGGTTTTGCCCCCAGGTTGCTTACAGGGCTTCGGGCCACAGCATCTTAGTGTTTAGGGTTTAGGGTTTAGGGTTTAGGACTGAGGCATCTCTATCAGCTCACATCCCTTGCTTGAAGCTCTCAAAGCCTTGCAGCCTTTCGTTTTTGCCCCCCCAATCGCACATCATTGCAGGTGGTGGCGAGGCCAAGAAGGAGGAGAAGAAGGCCAGGGCGAGTGACCCTTTCCTTCCCTCTTAGGATGCCACGCCATTGGGCCGTATTTGGGCCTTCAGCTTTAAGGGTTGAGATGATTTTTTTGTGGCTTCGGTATCAAGTCCTTGGAAGCTTTGAGGCCTGCAAGAGGTCGTCTTGATGAAAGAAACCTGACATTCAAAAGAGCCTGAAAGAAACGAGACTCGTGTCCTGTTCGGTACAGTGGCGAATGCCAGCAGGTGCCTGGCTGACTGTGCATCCTAGGCTGCGACCCCCTACTCCTCACCAGCCAGTAGCTTTTCTTCGGGCAAGACGTTCAGCATCCGGAATGTTGGGCCTTGCACAGAAATTGCTGGAACTTGGGTTTTGAAGTTAGGGGTACGGCATGGTTCTGCGTTAGGTTTTTCGAAGCCATGTCTGGGAAAGGTCGAGGAGGAGGAAGAGGAGGAGGAGATGGACTTCGACCTCTTCGGCTGAGTGTCTTCCAGCGGCAGCAGCTTCGAGGTTGAAGGCTTCCAGGAAGTACATTGCGCATGCTGGGCTTATGCATCAAAGTCTGATTCCTACACACCTGGCGAAACCCTACATCCCGAACCCGCCTGGTTTAGGGTTATCATGTCTCGAAAGTTGAAGGGGTTGGGCCAACCCCCGAGCTCAGAGAAATTCTGCCCGGGGGACCTCCGGATAAGTTCCCTTGGTACGGTCACTGCAGGTTGTCCGTAGTACCCAAGCCGCCAGCAGCGGAAATTGCGAGCAGCTGTACCAAGGCGATTCTACTGTCACCCGAGTTCTTGTCCGGGACCCGAGTGTTTCAGCCGTAGATGGGAAGCTAGCTGCGATTGTCTCGAGGGTAGGGTGCATTAGGGTTTCGGCTGGTCCCATAACTTTGTGTCATCTTGTGTCATGCTGTGCCATCTTGTGCCGGGCCTCCATGGCCCTGTAGTTGGAATGGGCACGCAGCGGGACACCCATCCCCTCCAAAACGCTCGTATCACAGCTATCAAGCTCCGATTCATCACCCCCCGAAACCTTACCTTCGAAATTCTCTGCACAAGCCGTGTGTGCTGGAACCTAGCAGCCCAGACAACTTTCAACTTCGGCCGAAGAATTTTCCAAGCAAGTAGCTTCAGTCTTGAGCCGTTCCCGCTCCCCGCTCGGATGCCAAGGCTGCTGTGGAACGATGGGCCTCTCATGTGCGGTGGAAAGAAAAAACCGCCGTAGTGCCTGCTTTTCTTTGTGGCAGTTTCGTGTGCTGCGGCTTCTCACAGCTCACGGCTCATGGGACTTGAATGTAGCAGATCTTTCGGTGGTGTGAGTTGAGTGCTTCGAAGTGAGGGCAAGACTGGATGGAAGCCACGTGTGCCAGGGTCTGTAAGATTGAGACTTTTGGGCAAGATCTTAACATGGGCAGGTCCTCTTTGGGAAGAGCCTGGATTGTTTCGTGAGAGCCGCGACCAAGCCGTCTTGAGCTGACGTCCCTATAAACAATGGATTCATGTTTTTGGATTCAGCACAGGGGTGGATGGGGCTTAAAGCGAGCTTGCACATGTGCGTGAGCACGTATCTAAGCCTCCTGAACCGCAACCAGAAGCCCAGAGAATTGGCAGATACATGGTGCTGTAGGCCGTAGGGTACTGCCGCTGAGCTCTCTGCGGCCTCTGCGCGCGGCCTCTGCACGCGGCGCACGCGGCCCCTGCACGCGGCCCCTGCACGCGGCCCCTGCACGCGGCCCCTGCACGCGGCCTCTGCGCGGCCTTATGAGAGAATGGATGCTTTGCTGCATCAGGTTTCTGACGGATCCTGACGGATCCGTGTCAGGATTCTGACGGATTCTGATGGTGTAGGATTTCTGGGCTACCTTGCCGGGCGACGATCAATGTAGACCCCTAATCCAAATCTACAGCTCAGCTAGGACCCACCGCAAGGCCTGCCGGCACTTTAGCGCTGCAAACCTTAGCCCCAGACTGGCACCAACAAGGTTTAGGGTTTAGGGTTCAGAGGCTGCTTCGGGAGGTTTGTGTCGCAGGTTAGGCCTGACAGCTTCGGCGATCTGAACACTTGCGAATGTTTGGGGCAGGGTTTCGGGTTTTATTAGATTCTAGGGTTGGCTCTCGAGTGTGTTTGGGTCCCTGCATGTTTTGCGAGCGAGGGTTCTTTCAAAGCACTTCACGTGGGCATGCCCATGGCAACAGGGTCTTCAATTGTCTCGATTCTCCACTTTTCCAGCAGCCCCGGACCCATCTGGCCCCACTCCAAGAAGCCCACGGCAAGGAAGCGGACAAAAAACTTGCGCTTGCCACCAAGGCGCTCTTTTGAGTCTTAGGGTTTAGGGTTTAGGGTTTAGGGTTTAGGGTTTAGGGTTTAGGGTTTTTTTGGCTTGTGGTTCGGGTCTCCAGGAAGCCATCTGCACTACTTGCACATCGGGATGGGGTGCATTGATGTGGGGAATTTCTGTGTACTAGCAGAGCCTGCTCCTGTCACCCATATGTTTAAGGCGCTTCTCAGTCGTCACGCGTGCCGCAGTTCCCCCCTCTGGCTGTAGGGCACTTTAGGACCATGGGTCCGCAAGGCACAGCTGTTTCGGCGCATCGTTCTCTTCGTGATCCCGGGGTATCTTCTGGTGGTGGTCGGATGTTTGGCGCCGGGGGCTCAGTTCTTCAGCTATTGGGCAAGGCTCCCACGACAATCTTTCCTGCAACGGCTGGAGCATTTAAACCCTGAACCCTGCAGCCTTTGAACGCCCCGGGACCTCTTCAGCCCTAATGCCCGAGGCCCGAAACCTGTGTGCACCCACAACCAGTGACGCCAAGGACTGCAGTGGACAAGGCCTTCGTTGGCCATGTATCCTCCCTGCAGTGCCTGGAGCTTGTTTAAGGGGCTAGGCCGAGGGCCTCGGATTGTTTAGAGCTTAAGGAATCGAGAAAAGCTTGGAGGTTTTCCAATCCTACAGCATTTGGTTCTTTGGGCTTTAGGGGTTTAAGGGTTTTGGAGGCAGGTCGTTTCAGTGCATGAATCATGTGACGCGAATCTGAATCTCACCAGGCCAGGGTTCAAGAAATTTCAACGAGCCCCAGCTCTCAGTTCTCAAAATCCAAGGCTTGCCTCCATCGGACCGGCGTCGTCTGTTTACGAAATGTGGACACAGACGATTCGCGCGCCTTGTCTGCGCATTTCCTCTCCAGGCTTTGAGGGGCAAAGGAGGGCCGACCTGCAATGTTTGGGCTTATGTTCGAAACCCTTTGTCCCAGACCCCCCGAATTTCAGTCTCCTTGCAATGCGAGATGGCATATCTGTTCAAAGCTCCTAGGCCATAAATGGAGCCCAGTTGGCTCTGCTGGGAAGCCCTCCAGAGCCTTGCCTGTATGTTGGCTTGGGGTGGGCTTTTGAGGAGTTTCGGAGAAGGCTTGCAGTGGTCTTTGAGGTCTTGTGAAGGGGTGCATCAAATCTCCTTGGATTCTTTCGCGTCGGGAGTATTTGCAGATCTGCAGATCAGGGGAACGTTCGGGCATTTCGGGCACTGGCTGCCGCTATAGGGCACTAGGTCCCTTGGGGGTGCTCCGGAGTCTCGGTGCAAGCTGCCCTGGCAGCGAAGCTTTCACTCCCAGGCCGATATGAGCAGAGCTTCGATTCGCCGGGCCCTCAGCAGCGCTGCGTCAGGTGAGCCTTTAGGGGTTTAGGGTTCTAGGGTTTAGGGTTTAGGCTACGGTTTAGGGTTTAGGGTTTAGGGTTCCTAGGGTTTGGGGTTTGGGGTTTAGGGTTTCATAGAAGGCTGGGAGAGGTCGCCTGATGTCATTCTACTAAGCGCCTTCTCCTAAGCGGCGGGCAGGCTTCTTGTTCAGCTTTTATGACCTTCGCCGCTTCCCTTGCCCGAAAACCCTGATAGCATCCGATCTGCACATGGTATCCGCTGTTCTTGCATCCGTCAAAACAAGGGTAGAGTCTGCGGTAGACTTTTCCTATCTCCGCCTGACCGCATGAACTTGTTTATTGCAAACCGATCTTTCACATACATGCCCAAACCATGACAATGCCTTTGTCGCCACGAGTTTGAGACACCCGCCCTCGTAGTCTTCCCCGTCCTCCCCTCGCTGAGAATCCTTCCCGCTCCTCTCACTTCATACCGGGAACTGCATGCTAATCCTACGGAAATTAATGAAACGGTCACGAGATCGGAGATAGCTTGGGACCTTCCTCATGCAAACTGTGTTCAGGTGCAGTTGGTTTTGTCTACATGACGTCTGCCGGGCTGTTTGGGGGGCTCCCTGCCTGCACTTCCATGCAGATCTCCAGGGTACGAAGCTCAAGTATGTCAATGTATGTCATGTGTTGCAGGTGAGAGGCTGTTGTAGTCTTTGAGCGTCGAGTTCGGAGTTTTGCATGTCGATCGCGCTCTGCGGGAGATTGGGTTGCCGGCAGGCTTTCATGTGCTTCATCTTCAATCTTGTGCCAAACACGTCAGGAAGCGATGAAGAACCTTTTCAAGCCCCCAGCATCCCTACTTCGACCTGGCGAATATCTGGGTAAAAAGCACACTGCCCTGAAACGCGCAAGTGAAAACCCGAAAAGCGTGCCCCACAACTGTCAAACTTCCAACATCCCTGGTAGCGGCCGCAAGTGGGAGTGAGCCCCGGAACCCCAAAACCCGCAAGAGTGAGCCTCGAACTGGAGCCAAAAGCCGTAAAAAATCCTAAAGCCGGGCCGTCATTTGTGTAGGCCTATAGAGCCGTCACGAAAAGCACCTCAACCCGAAACCCTAAACCCGAAACCCTAAACCCTAAACCCTACACCCTAAACCCTAAACCCTGACATGCAAAATGAGGATTGCCGCATTTGTCATGGCGCCCTCTGCCGTCCGGTGGTTCGGGGCGAGCTGCTAAGCCGACCTGGCAGGGCTTCTTCGGAATCTTCAGGGTCTCTCTTTTAGGGTTTGGGGTTTAGGGTTTAGGGTTTAGGGTTTAGGTTTTAGGGTTTAGGGTTTAGGGTTTAGGGCAGTACATGTCAGTAGATGTCTAGTGCTCATGATGTGGTGGGGGCCGTGTCGGTGCTCATTAAAGTGGCAGGGATTGTGCAGTGTGTTTTGGTGGAACCTGTCGCCGTGGTGCTTCTTCCCTGATCATTGTGGGACCTCAGGGTTGGTCCTGGGTTGAGGGCGCAGTGTGGGCCCGCTGATTCGGCTGATGCCACTCTGCCGTCCTCTGAAAAAGCCCTGTGTTCTACTTCTGCGGGTTCCCAGTTCACTGGTGGCAACTACAGCCGTGAGCTACGTGGGCGTCTGCCTTTTTTGTTGAATGTTCCGCCGGATGCCTCTCCGTGGGCTGAGAGATGAAGCCAGTCCTCGAAGTGAGGCTGCGAGCATCTTGAGATCTTTATTGCAAAGCCTGGCGTGTTTTTTTTGCAAGCTTGGCGTGTAAGGGTGCTGCTTTCTGCGAGCAAACAGTTGCTTGACGACGCGCCAACCATGGTTCTCGTTGAAACGCGAAGCTATTCGGTTTTGTAGACATTTTGCTCGGGTTCTGTTGAGCAACTCTTTGCGTCACCGGACCGGCATGAGTGGACACCCGATTGGTCGTGTTGTGCGAAAGTTGTGATCGCATCATGGGGTCGTTCTTCGTTGTGACATGGCGATTCTGCATGGCAGCTCAAGCGGATATTTGTATTCTGGGCGTGGTCAGCAGTGGAAGACCCTGCGGCTTGGCCAGTTTGCCAACGTCTCTGAGTGCTTGCATTTTTGCAAGTTGGGCATCGACGTCCTTGCAAGGCATGTCTCCCGCATGTTTGCTTCTCAGCTCACTGGTGTGCGGTGCTGGGTTTTGCGAGATCCTCAACCCCAAAACACCAAATCGCAGCCTCCCAAGGTACTGAGATGTTACCGTTCGCGCTGGCCTACCTGCAGGTGTACTTTTTTTTTTCTGTGCGCTGCTTCGCAATGAAGCTTGGGCTTGTGAGGCTTTCAGGGCTTGCCTGCCCTTTGTGGGGGGATGCCTCGAGACTCCAGGGGGTTAAAGTTCGTACGTGCAGGGATGATGGGAGGAGCCTGTGCCAAAGGGTTGCCGACTTGGGACGAAATCGACTCTGTTCTATCGCAGTTTTCCACAGAGTATCTGAGCACCGAGCTGTATGTGCTATGAGCCTGGTGCAGGTTCGTGCCTTTTTCATGGTCATGGGCCGTGCTTCTTGGCAGCTTGCGAAGAGGATGTTTTAGCAGGGCCGTATGCGAAGGTTCACGTCATGGGCCATGCTGTAGATTCTGAGCTTCAATATCGTGACGTGACGATCACTAAGCTGTGACGTCGCAGGACTTGCAATTGGGCTACATGTTCCATGCTACCTACGTGCCTCCAGCCAACAAAAACCCTATTGTACGAAGCCCGGACCGGACTACTACCCCCACCCAGGTTCGCGACAGTTGCAACGTAGTCTGCTTGGCAGAGAAGGATTCTGTGACCCCTTTTGTGGCGTCCGTGTGTCCCGGCTCACGGAGTGGATTTGGGGGGCTCAGTTTGGATGTTCAATTGCTTGCGCACTTCTTTCTGCGTCATTGATGTGTGAGGACTTGTAGTTCAGAGGGACTAAAGCCGAGAGAAGGCGCCTCTGAAAAACAAACAAGCAGTTTGTCTTTGGTTGAGCCTCATCTTTCATCTTTCACGAGATGCATGAGTTTCGTGTTAGAGCCAGTCTAAGCAAAGCTGGTCCTGGGGGGCTCGTTTCCTTGCGGCTGAGGATCGCTTTCGTGGCCAACGTGCTTGGAGATCTGCTCCTTTGTCCAAAATATGGCGCCTTTGGAGCTGCTGTTGCAACGGATGTGGCCACGTCTCCCGGCAGATCAAGCCAAATTTGAGTTCCTATCCGAGGTGGAGTCGTGCAATTTGTGGACTGCTTGTTTGCGGTTAGGCGGAAATTGCAGAACAATGACTACATTGTGTTTGAACGCTGAGTATTTCTGAATTGGGATTACCAATAGCATACGACGCAGGTTGCAATCAGGAACTCTGTAGGCTTGACATGCTGAACGATGCAAACGGCGAGATGTTTGGGACGTTGCTTCTCAGCCCTAGCATGGTGAGACCGGGAGTTGAGAACTTAGATTTATAGAGGTCTCTTAATAGTTTTAGCCCAGGAAGCATGAAACCAAGAACCAAGACTCCTCCAGGACTCTTGGTTCTTGGCTGGCGACTACAAAATACTAATCCATATACTACCCTTAGTAAGGAAGAATATTCTTTATTTTTGAGGGTTCTTAAGGAATTGGTAGTTGAGGGGCATCTTACATGAGCCCCAGCTCAAGATTTTTAAGCGACGCCTCCCTGGACCAGCGCCAAAACCAGCAACCGGCAGACCTTGCGCCCAAGTCCCCCTAAGCCCTAAACCCTAAATCCTGAACCCGGAACCCTGAACCCGGAAACCTAAACCCTAAACCCTAAGCCCTAAACCCTAAACCCTAAACCCTAAACCCAAAACCCTAACCCCTAACCCCTTCAAATTTGCGGCGGCGTCTGCGAAGGTCGGTGGCTGCAGGTTTCACGCTACAAAGCTTGCGGCACTCCGGGCTCTGGCCAAAGAAGTTTCCGTGTCCGGGCAGGAGCTGAGAGGGCTTAGGGCCTCGGGCAGGGGGTCTAGGACTTAGGGCTTAGGGTTTAGGGTTTAGAGCTCAAGGTTTAGGATTCAGATGCGATTGCGCTGTTAAGGCCCTTTTTGGAGTTCAGGCGTGGCTTTAACCCGAACAGAGACTCTCGCGAATTCGCAGTTTCTTTCAATTACGGGTTTCCAACTAGTCGAGACAGGCCCGCCGGGTTTCCGCTGGTCTGTTCTAAGAATTCTCTTTTCTCAACCTAAAGTCACTGTGTGGGGCCTTCGCTGCTGTACACGGAGTGCTTTACTTGGTTCGCTTTGGTCCTTATGCGCGTTGCAACCAATCCCTCAAGAGTTCGGGCTTGGGCCTTCGGGCCTCGGCCTATGGTCTTCGGCCTCCCTGTTCGTGGATACCTCACCGTCACATTTCTTCAGCCATAGCGTTGCAGGTCAAGGAGAAGCAGTCCGGATAGTCTTCATGGTAGGTATGCATGATACAAGGAACCAGTCTCTCAGCACTGCCTTGTAACGTATTGCCAGCATTCACCCTCGACACCTTCAAGGCCCAAGGCCAAAACCTAAACCCCAACAACTGCAGACATGCAATTCTCTGTGTCTTCTCACAAGGGCTCCGAGCCTGAGTAAAGTGCCTCATTGCTCAAGTTTCTGGGGCTTCGTGGCCAGTTTTTGGGCAGGGTCGCGTTCCGGTTGTGCTCATCCGGACTTCAGAATGTGACAAAGTTCATCAGGGTCTAGGTCTTAGCATCTTCCGCTGCGTGTGAATGTGTGAATGTGCGATTGCGATCTGCAGGAGAGAAAACAAGCATTTTGCAAAGTATGCCTTCAACCTTTTTTTAAGCGCCGTGGCCTCAGCTCAGCTCAGCTGCCCAGGGCCAGGAAGTGTTTGTCCCGCTGTGTGGATGCTTTTTAGGGAGGAAGGCGTATGGGGGGTTTATGAAAACAAGGGAGCCCCCAAGATAGACCCCCAAATATTAGGATTCCCTTATACTAAGGACCCCAATAAGGTACCCCCCCCCCCCTCCCCAAATTTCGGAAACCCCCCATATGTTAATATGGAATGCCAGGCCGAAGAGTCCGCAGAGCAGCAGCATGTCTAGACTTCAGCGAGTCTGACTCGCAGCTGTTGGTTTTTCATGCGAGGTGTGTTCCCCCCCGCAACAAGAAGCTACAGCACCAGCAAGAACCCGAAACCCAAGCTTCATAGCAAGTCCTAGCTAACCCTGAACCCTAAACCCTAAACCTTAAACCTTAACCCTTAAACCCTAAACCCTAAACCCCAAACCCTAAACCCTCAACATCAAGGCGGTCGCCTTGCTGATGATCCTCATCTCGGAGACACGTTTGGCCTCGAAGATGGGCACTACGTCGGGCGCCGCGCACCAGACCCACAGCTGGAACAAGGTTTAGGGTTTAGGGTTAGGGTTTAGGGATTTAGGGGGTGTTTGGGTTAGTGGGCTGTGTGAAATACTGAAATCGTTTCTGTCGCCACGAGTCTTGGGCTCACCAAACAGACCGTTCGGTGCACCAACACCGAAGTCGGGGTTTCCGAGAATGGGGGTGCCCTTTTTGGTGGTTCCTTGAAAAGGGTTCTATAGTATTTTTAGCGTATATGAGGGGTGCCTTTTTTTTGGGAAATGCCCAAGCAGGACGAGCACCGCAATGGAAAGTTGCAGCGCATCACATCACAAGGATGCACTGCGCACCAGAGCCATGAACTCTAGGAGGCAGCACTCGAGGGTTGATGGGGGGATTCTTGACAGAGCGTGCCTGCAGGAGAGTTGTCTGCCTGTGAGAACTTGTAGGCAGGACACTTGAATGCGCAGCTGCGTGTCGTCCGGACTGGCATGTGGCCCAATCATCTTTTCAGCTCCTCTTTATGGGGCGCCGCCATGCTCTTAAATGTTTCTCTGGTCCGCTGCGGGGGGGGCTGAGATTATAGCGCTTGGGAGCTGGTCGCTCATGTCAGTTCGTGGTTTGCCGCCCAAAGGGAAAGGACATAACTGCGCACTGGGTATGTTGCACGAGGAGTGCCCTTTTACCCCTAGTTCGCCTGCACGTCGTGCCAGAAACAGGCGCCGGATGCTGAGGTTGAGAGTTTCTTTGGGGGTACGCCGTGTGCTGAACTGCCACATGAGTGGGATAGCACAACGCAGTACGCTTGCTGGCTCGGCTTGCGGGCCTGTGGAGACGGAGGAGTTGCAGCATGGAGGTTTGGGGGCTTTCGGGGCAGTGCTTGAGACATTCTTGGCCGGATCCGTTCTGCCACTGGCAACTTGGCACCACGCGATTGCATCCGCACCACCTCAACGCGAAGGCTGCTTCAAGGCTTCCAAGACCAAGGATGTTTTCCCTCTGCCGCCGCTGCAAGAGTGGCCTGCTGATGTGGCTACCCCGAGCTCGAGTACCAGCCTCCTCTTGGCCAACCTTTGCCTGACAGCTCTCAACCACCTGTGCCATGGAATGCCGCAACACGCGCTGCCAAGTACATGGACGACGCCTAGAATGCCTTCACGCGCCCAGAAGTCCGTGCATCGTCATGTAGTTCTTCGCGTTGCTCGTTTCGCGCACAGGCTGGACTCTGTGTGGGGTCAGCAAGCTGTGGTCAAAGGAGCCTTTGCTTTGTATGAAGAGCACGGCGCTGACCGTTATGAACCAGTGCGCGGGCATGACGTTGACCTTCCCAGTGTTGCTGCCACCTGTGATCCGTCGAAGTTGGTGCCCGAGGAGCTGTGGAACATGGCTTCAGATGCTTCAACTGTTTTTCCGATTGACGCATCGATTACAGTGGAAGCTTCGGCGTTGCCAGCTGGGCTCGAGCGGCAACAATACATCATCTTGACGGTGCGCGAACTCCAGTGTGGCAAGCTCAGGTTGCGCACTGACATACGAGGCATGGCAACTATTTTTGCAGCTCCGAAGTCGGCCCAAAACAGACAAAGGAAGATTTGGGATGGGTCAGCCTTAAGTGAGGCTGCCTCGGCTCCGCCCAAACCATCCAGACTGGCCAACCCAAGCTCGTTTCTGGACATCTTGGTGGATCAGGGGGAGACCCTTCTGATGTCAAAAAGAGATGCCAGCACATACTTTGACAGCTTAGCTGTGCCTGCAGCCTTGCAGCCTTGGTTTGGGCAGCCGCCAGTGTCGGTACAAGAGCTACGCGGGAGTGGTCTGACGCTCAAGCAGCTGCGGGCCTGCACTGACAGCGCCGTGACGTTGCTTCCAAGCACTCTCCTGTACCCTGTCAACGTTGTTTGGCCCATGGGGTTCAGCTGGTCGCCTTGTGTGGCCCAGGCAAACACTTTGGGATGCTTGCGCAAGGCTGGCGTGAACGTGGACAGCGTCCTTAGTTTGGATGAGCCTTTGCCGGTGTCGCAGGATGAGTTGGGGGCGGTGGCCACAGACGATGTTCTTCTTTTCCACCGAGATCGGGAGAGAGGCGCCAAAACGCTCCAGAGATTGGATGGTGTCTTCCAAAAGCACGGGGTCATCAAAAACACCAGCAAAGACGTGACCTTGGCCCTCGAGATGACGGGGCTTGGTTGTGACATAAGCAGTCAGCCTCCACTGGTCCAGCCTGCAGCTGGCAAACTTGGCAAAGCAGTTCTGGGACTCTTGGATGTGGTCCAGCAAGGAGTGGCCAGTCCAAAGGCCCTTCACAAGCTGCTTGGCGTTTTTCAGCGGTTTTGCTTGCTTCAACGTAGCATGTTCAGTTTGTTTGATTCTACGTATGGGTTTGTAAACACTGACAGTGCTGCAAGCAAGCGCTTGCCCACGGCGGTAAAGAACGAGCTGCTGACCGCCTTGGCGCTGGCACCTCTACTGCCGGCTGGCCTCGACAGGCCGTACCTGGACGAGCTGTTGGCGTGTGACGCAGCGCCAGATTTTGGTTTTGGTGTGACCTCTCTGCGCTGCGGTAAGAAGGTCACAAGGAAGTGGGGCGTTTAGCTGAGCGGCGAGGTGATTATGTAAGGCTGATCCCTGGAGACCATGACGAGCCTGAAGTGCCAAGGATCGGAAAACTACACCGCCTGCCCTTCCGCAAGTCTGACTTCAGGGTCCTCATCTCAAGCAAAGCTAAATGGCCGGCCCATTCTGGCCTCTTGGAATGTCATGGAGTCCTCTTGACATTGAAGTGGGTTGGAAGGAGCGCAAAGCGGCACCATGCTCGACCAGTCATCCTCGTGGATGCCAAAACTGCCATAGGATCCATCGCCAAAGGCAGGAGCTCTGCCAAGGCTTTGCGGCGTGTCCTCCGCACCGTTGCGGCGTACACACTGGCTTGCGACCTGCTACCCAGGTTGGTGTACGTGCCGTCGGAGTCGAACCCTGCAGATGCTCCCTCTAAGCCTCCGGCTCAAATTTGTTTGTAGCGTGAGTCGGGAGGGGGGGAGGGGGTAGTGTGTTTTTGTGCCTCTCTTCACACAGGTGAGAGAGGACGTAGTTTTCATGCCATGGATTGGCTCGGTGCTGAGCCACAGCACCAAACTTGCTTGGAAAGTGCCAAGAAGGAGAGAGAGATTTTTGAGAGGGAAACATGCAAAGTGGGAACGTCAGTGCATAACAAGATGCATGCTTGTTTGGATGTGTACCCTGCTGCCAATGTGGGAGACCCTGCCAGAGCATCAAACGGCCCCAGCGCACTGGGAAAGCCGATACCGGGACACCACGCAAGGGCCCCGGTCAGCAAACGCCACCTTAGAGATCAACTGGTCCGTGCAGCACTTGCAGCCTCCCAAGCAGTCTTCGATAGAATACATGACAATGGATGCAGAGATCTGCACGCAATGGATCCATGACGCACCTCCAGCAGGGGCCCCAGTAACCGTGCAAGATCCGAGTCCAGCTAGACATAATGCCAAGCCACTCGGTACCTCCCGATCGGTGTGCGTGTTGTGTACACTGCCTGAACATCATGCGGCCCCCGAACAGGGGGAAGGCCGATGCAAGGACGCCACGCATACCCCTCTGTCAGCAAACACCACCTTAGGGATCAACTGGCCTGTGCAGCACTCGCAGCCTCCAGAACAGACTCTGGAAGCCTGGCTGACAGCGGATGCAGAGATCTGTCCACAGTGGATCCGTGTTGCACCTCCGGTCGGGACCTCAGCGCCTGCACGGTCGTTTGGTCTTGCTCGACACGAAGTCATGATCATAGGTGCTGAACAGTCTGTGAGAGTGATGTGTATACCATGCTGGCATGCGGGATGGGCTGCTACTTACATGTCCTTCACTGTGCGTAGCTGCAGTCGGTCTGATGTAGGTGAGAGCATGAGCCATCCGAGAGAGTGCAGTTGTCAGTCCAATAGCATTAGGGCACTCCAAACGCTGCCTGATGCAGGGGAGCCGCTTTCGGCCCCACCACATGCAGACCTCCGCTCCAGGGCAGGACACTCAATTTGCAGTCTGCCTGCACCACATATTTCACCGGAGCGTACCGAGCCGCCAGTATGCAATGCCTGCATGAGCATCTCCACCTCCAGACCTCGGGCTCAAATGAGGCAAACCACGAGAGCCGAGAGAGGTCTCCCTCCTAGGGAGCACCCTCGCTCGCACTACCGAGCAGATGGTCGCCGTCGCAGAACGGCCACGGAGCTGAGGCAACGGGGCTGGCAGTCGTGGGAAGGCCACAATGAGTGGCGACATGGAGCGACGGAGTCGACAGGGTGGTGGCATGGCTGGAATTCGTGGACCGAGAGTACCGAATGGCACTCTGAGGAGGCGGAATCACAGGGCGACGGACAGCCAGGCACCGTCAGTGATGGCCCCTCATCTTCCTCGGCTCAGGCTGTGAAGATCAAGGCCCAAGACCAAGGAGAGCCACACATGGAGGAGGCCGATGTGCCGGCCCCTGCAATTAATCCAGTCGTGGACGGCACCACACCTGACATGATGAACGAGGTACGGACCCCGACAGCTGACCCGGTGGCATCGGAGACAACAACGGACGAGGAGGAGTTAATCCCAGCAAAAGAGCATGCCGCTGTGCAGCATGCCGCTGTACAGTGTGGCCCGGTCACGTGTGACCAGGCCACACAGACGAGCGACAACGAGAGGCCAGGAAAGGCCGCACCTGGCAACTACACACCTCAGGGGCTGCCGCTGCAGAGCGTCGCAATGAAGGCGGATGAGCATCCGATTGAAGAGACAAGCGGTGAGGTCTGTGGTGCACGAAGAGGAGGCGACGCACGTGGTGCGGTCAGGAGGGCCCAAACAATCGGCCCCGAGAGGGTGCCGCCGCACCAGGGACTAAATGCTGCGGCAAGGCTACACCTGGGCAAAGCAAAGCAGCTTCTGGGCGAGCTCTTGCCTAGCAACCCGGGGGCGAGCCTCACGGCCTTCCAGATGCAGGGACACTACAAGTTCAGGCACGACCTATACCACA